AAAGACGACAGTCAGCTGCTGCCAAGCAAGGCAACTGCCAAAACATGCAGCGTAGAAATAAGATTTCAAAGCCAGCAGAGGCAAGTGTGGCCCACTTGTGTATCAAACAGAACCCTGATTCAGATCTAGAACACAACTTCCTTTTAACATTGCTGGTTGGCTTTCAAGAGAAAAGCAGCCAAGCTCCTTGAGTTCTAGGTGTGCACAATTCAGTCAAGAATAGTAAAAGTAAGTCTTTAATGAGACAAGAAATATAAATGAAAATAATATTCACAAAAGTCTCAAACTTCACTATTAACCTAAAGCTACTGTACACAAATCGTGACCGAATGTTACATAAAGTCTCACGGTACCGTGACAGCGACTATGAAAGGGCAAAACATACTGGAGTAGAATCGCCTCCATTCTAAGTGAGAACACTGCAGAGTGGAGATGCAGTATGGAAGAAGACAGGAAGGAAGCAAATGGACAAATGAATACAGTGGAAAAGTACAGACACTTCAGCGTCAATCTAGTTCAGTCTTTTTCTACTTCCTGTAAAAAACTAACAATAGGTCAGTGGTTGAGGGGAGATCAGCAAAAAGTTGCCAAGCTTTTGTAGGAGGGTCTCGAACGTCATACTACCAGTGAATTCCAACAGATGTTTGCCATAAGCACTGAGGAATGAGCATCCTTGGGAAGCCCGCCTCAAAACTCAAGCGAAGGAGACGCGAGGACACGCCCTGAGCTTGCTGTCTGCTTCTCCCAGCACTCGGTTTTCATCCTGGCGCCGTCCCCACGTCCGTGAGGCAGCCGATGGGAAGAACAGCCAACAACAATTTAGGCACTATTTGGCCTTGGCACACCACACTTATGTGCCACAGAGCATTCTCCCAAAGGTGAACATGACTACTCTGCCTGTCTGATGGGGTCATGGTAAAATCCTAATAAGAGACTACAAGAGAAGGCCTTTTCCACACTGTAATTATAGCATACACACATTTTTTTTTTTTAACCAAAGTCACCATAAGGACAAAACGTTTTCTAACACCAAGTATGAACACAAAACTTGTCTTAAAAATTTAAGTACCACACATTATCAAAGAGCAAATTCAATAATAAAATGCAATGGGCATCAAGTGCTACCAAGACCCAACACTGCAAACTATATTGCGTGACCAATCTCACTCCAATAGATGACAGTTTCAGATTTGTTCATAACTTGATTCCTTTTTAAATTTTTCAAAAATTCCTCATTTATACGAACAACAGAGTTACAGACAGGAGGACAGACAGAGAGAAAGAATCTTTCGTCTGCTGGTTTACTCCACAAATGGCCATAACAGCCAGGGCTGGGCCATGTTGAAGCCAGGAGCCCAGAGCTTCTTCCAGATCTCCCAGGTGGGTAGCTGGGACCCAAACTCTCGGGCCATCCTCTGCTGCTTTCCCAAATGCAGTAACAGGGAGCTGCACCGGAGATGGGCAAACAGGGATTCACAGGCACCTCGTGGGATGCCTGTGTTCCAGGTGTAGGCACGACCCTCCATGACTATATTTTTAAAGTACTGAGTCACATTTACTTATTCATGGATGTTACTTACCTGTTGTAATGATTTCCTATCAATCAAAGAAAGAAGCTTCTGTAGAGCCCACAGCCAAGGTTTCTCTTCCAGGAATCTTTTCTGATCCAACTGAGGTCAGATGTCCTAGCTGCTTTTTATGTCAGAAAACCTAGCACAGAACTCAGCTGAGTGTATGACTCAGCATTTCAAACATGACTTCACTGTTGTTTTTTCTTTCACAAGGAGACCTACTATTTTGCAAAACAAACATTTGCTAAGTTAATCCATCCAATACTACACATTTCACTTAGGTCCAGCTCGGACAGACACACTTTCATCACAAGTCTGGGGAAGACTTTTCTACCAGGAGCCCCAAGAAGACACATAGGGGAATCAAAGCTTCCTGCAGAAGGATGCTTGGGACAGACCGTGCAGATACAGCAGGAGGCCTGTGCTTCTTGCCCACAGATAAGAAAGTCTCCCTCCGGACAGCCTGGAGCCTTCCAAAAGTGCGAAGTCCTCACAGTATTTCCCCTGACTGAGACAGAGAAATTCAACACACCCAGCTGCCAATGGCTTGCATCCCACGGGGTGGGGGATGGTAACTTTCTGCTCAGCCCAGGCGAGGCAGCCAAGGTTGAACTGCTTTGGGCCTGTTTTCTGAGCGAGGAAGCGTGACACTGGCATGGCAAGCACGAAGCAGCTGTGCTTGTTCGGCAGCCCAGCATACACCTTACAAATGTTCAGCTAGCTCTCTTTTGTAAAATAATAATAACAATACTGATCTTGAAACATTTCATAAACACTGAACTGCCAGCAGAGTTTTCAGTGTAAAGCTTTTCCTACTAGAGGAATCTACGTACTCTAAACAAATTATGAGCCCAAAAGGGTTATTCTCACCAGAGAAATACAATGGAATAAATAAATACAATGGAATAAATACAATAAATAAATATTGGGCAGATTGAAAAATGATGGTTGGGGCTGGCATCATGGTTAAGCCACCACCTGTGATGTAGGCATTCCATGTGAGCACCACGTCCACTTCTGATCCAGCTCTCTGAAAGTGTGTGAGCATCTTAGTCCCTACCACTGATGTGGGAGACTCTGAGAGTCCCAGGCTCCCGGCTTTGGATTGGCCTATCCCTGGCCACTGGGACCACTTGGAAAGTGAACCAGCAGGTAGAAGACTTCTCTTTCTGTCTCTCTGAAACTTTGCCTTCTAAATAAATAAATCTTTCTTTTAAAAGGGGGAAAAATAGATGGCCAGAGCAGTTTCAAAGAATCACAGAATTCCAGTTCTCTCTGAAATAAACAGATGAAACTGCACCAATGAAGAATTCACTCTTCAAAAGAGGCTTCCAATAGTAAAACCACAGAACACACTTTCATGTAGAAGAAAAACATCAAACATCAGAGACCTTCTCTTTCATTCCAAAATGTTGGCCATTACAAAGACCCCACAGTGATGACATCTTTCTCATTATTTCACTATTACAGCTCCGTAGTCCCCGGAAGCAGCGGACAGCCTCCAGCCTGTGGCAGTCCCCAGATCCTGCTCTCCGCCATTCCTCCTTTCATTGCTCCCACTGCAGATCAGAGACTTTCAAAACTAAAACAAGCCTTTTATGGAGCAAGTAAAGCACCCTTATCATTTCAGTGACAATTTTGGTAACAGATCCACAAAGAAATCCATCAACACATTCAAGAGAAATCAAATTCCTTATAAAAATCATTGGAGATTCTTGGGAAGTCAGTAGACTTCCAAGACACAAAACAAGAGTCAAGACTTCCTTTGAGACACCAGAGATGGGAGTGGATGTCTGGCGAGAGATTAAGGCACCAGGCTGCGATTCTTACATCATATATGGAAATATCTGACAAGTCCCAACTCCACTCCCAATTCTAGCTTCCTAGGAATAAAGCAGTAGGCAGTGTTTCAAGCAGCTGGCCTGTTATCACCCACAATAGGAGATCTGGATTAAGTGGAAGCATCAGTGACTGTGGGCATTCGGGCACCGGGGACCGGTAGATGGGAGCTCAAGTGCTCTGTATGCCTCCAAAATAACTAAACAAAAATTAAACAAAAAACCCCAAAGCCAACAAGCCTTCTTACAAGATTTATTTTATGTATTTGGAAGGCAGAGTCACAGAGAAGAAGAAACATAGCCACACAGACACAGACACACACACACACACACACACACCCCTGCATGATCTTCATCTGCTGGTTCAACTACCAGGCCTGGGACGGACCAAAGTCAGGAGCCTGGAACCCCACTTGGGTCTCCCACAGAGGTGTTTAGGTGCAGGGGCATAACCCCCTGGGCCATCCTCCACTGCTTTCCAGACCCATTTAGTAGAAAGTTGGATTGGAGGTTGAGCAGCTAGGACATGAACTGGCACCCATATGGAATGGGAGCATCCCAGGCAGTCACTTTATCCAGCAGGCCACTGCACCAGCCTGAACAAACCTCTGAAAAAACATGAAGTGTTGAGTTCCCTAACAACTGTATGATCTCTTCCTTTCACTTTTGTCTTTGTACCCACCATTCAGGAATAATTGCCAGGCTATGACATAGCTTGTACATTTTCCACCTGTGGCACACTGGGAAAGATCTAACACCACCGGCAATCTATTACGCGTTCACACTGAATTACTAAACTGGCCCTAAGAACTAAGCACAGTTCAGTCACTGGCTTTTCCCCATGTGCTCCAGGATTGAATTATTGCTAACAACCCATCCCTTGGGCCGAGAATCCAAGGGAGGATTTCTTCATTGTTGGACAGCCCTGTGAACGTACCTCGGGTCAGCTCTTTTGTAAGATGTCTGGCCTCGTTTTAAGAAACAGGAATAATACAGACATATGGGGGGGATCTATTGGTCTTCTCTCCAAAAGATGAACAAAAAGATACTACCCGCACAATGACAAATGTGCATGTGTACTCGGTGCACAAATACAGTCCTAGACAATGACGCTGTGGTCAGTGACAGCACAGATACGAGGCGCCACATGGTTACAGGACCCCGTGCTGTTTCAGCTAGCTCAGTCCCACAATGGCAAAACCGCCTAATCCTACGCTTTCGAGCAGAGCCTGGTTAGTGTGGCACAGGACTACACACAGTTTTGTAATTACCTGGATCAGTATCTCTTACAGCATTATTATAGATCATTTTAATGTCTGACTCTTAACCATCTTCACCCATCATTCAAATCACGGGAAGCAGTTTATCCCCCCAAAATTATACAGTAACTCCTCACAAAGATTATCAGTTACTGGTTTTCTTAGACAAAAAGTGTTTGGGAAATTAGTTCGATAGCAAACAATTCGACCAGCTACACATGACTGCTCAGGACGGCCCTCCAGCATCCCAGCCCACAGACACACTGGGAGAGGAGTGATGGCGGGGGGTGAGGGGGCCAGCCCCTCTGTTGGGCTTCCTTGGGCCTTCATACCTGTGCTGATGCTCCTGCAAGACTTGGTAAATGCTGATAAGAAAAGTTTGGTTTTTAAAACTCCCCACAACACAGTCCTTGTAGATGCGGAATTCTGCAGCCGTCACCGCCTCACCCTCAGGAATCTGGGATAGGTTGAACTTGAACTCTTTGTGGTGCCGCTGGCGAGGGGAGAACTCCTTGTCGTACTCCACTATAAGATTAAACAAGAGAGAGTGACAGCTATTGTTACTTGACTAAGTGCCACGGGCGCACCTCATGAACGCTCCCCCGCTTCCAAGGATTACCAGTTCCCCATGGCTTGAGAGGGGTCAGGGCGAGCCAGCAGCATCGGCTCAGCTGTCAGATGAGCAGAGTTACAGCTTTCCCGTTACCCAAGGACATCAAGCTCTTATTCGGCTTAAATGCTTCCGCTTGGATACTCAGCAGAAATGATCTGCACTGACCTGAACTGGCAGCAGGCTTCCTCACCTGCACCAACAGGAAGAGTCTACCTTGAAGGGAAACGTGTGGGGATGAAGGCCATGACCCCTGAGAACCCATCTGTCCATCCTTGGCCCACCACCCCTCCCAGCCCCCCTTCCACCCTGGCTGGAAACAGTGTTGCTATGAGTGTTGGACAAGACCAAGGGCAGCCCTCAGTGAACTTGGGAGATGCTGGTGGCAGGGGAGTGTCCTAACAGTCGTGGGTGAACCGAGTAAGCAGCATGTTGTGTCAGCTCTTGAAATTTAAAGCATCATCAAATTCTACCTGCTGTTCAGTGGAAAGTTCTAATGAGGAAGTGAAGGTATGGCTTCATGGGAAAATGTACTCCTACCAAACCCAGTGCCTTCCCACTACTGGTGGGGCTGTGGGCGGAATGACACACAGAGAGAAGGACTGTCCTAGCTGGGCAGCAGGGGAACCCTGGTTCACACACATGTAGATCTCAAACAAGGGAGTGGCGATGTGCAAGAAAATCGGGTTTTCTTTTTCAAATATGGACTCAACCTAACTGATTAACAATGGGTTAACGGAAAGGGAAAACATGGCATAAATGCACAACGGAAAGCTATTTGGCCTAAAGAAGGCAGAAGACTGCCATTTACGACAGTGTGAATGAACCTGGAGGACTTGTAAAACAAAGTAAACTTAGCCAGGCAGAGAATGACAAATGCTGCAAGATGTCACTCGTGTGCAGGATCGAAACAGGTCAAAATTCTAGAAGCAGACAGAACAGCAGTTCCCAGGGTTGGAAATGGCCAGGCGATTTGGGCAAAGTCGGTCCAAGCGTGCAGAGGTTCAGGTCTGCGTGATGTGTGCATTTGAGGGACCTGAAGTCCTGCATCGAGACTGCTCAACTGTACTGTAGCAGACTGACAGCAAAGCACTAGTTAGAATGAGGTGGCAGACCGGAGAGCTTCAGCAGCACTCAGCTCGTAAGGCACATCCAAACAGTCTGGACCCCTTAGACATATGTTAACAATACCCCAATAAAGCTAGGAAGTAAACTTCTAAAAACCAAGATCTTTTTCCTGCCTGAAGACTGATGGTGGGGTTACTCACTCCTGTGTTTTGGAAGCAGCTTCCAGATGGCTGTGTGCAGCTCTCCCTGCATGGGAGAAATGCTGAGGACCCTCGGAGAAGAGGAGGCGTGCCCTGCTTCGTCAGAAACCCTTGCCTCACTCCCCGCTGGGCAGCACTGCTGCCTGCCCTCCCTGCTTGTCTTTCCTTCATGCCAACCACAACAAAATCTCAGGAGCAAATTAATCCTTTATGCCAGAGTTTTCCCAGGGCATGTGGGTAGGGAAAAAAATCAGATCATGTCCCACATCCAAGTTTCCCACATTCTCCCACATGGATTGTTTTCCATAATTACCAGAAAAAAAGCTCTGGAGAGGCAGCGTCTTAAAAATGTTCATCAGAAAAGCCAGTGACTTCGTAGGAGAGCCTCCATCCTCCGGGAAAGTTAAGCCATCCACAGGTAGGGGATTTAAAACAAGAGATTTCCTCACCCCCCAGTGTAGTTAGGAGAAACCTGTTCGGTGGATTCGAGGTCCCCAATTGCCACCCCATCTGATCTCTCTCTGCTTTTAAAGGGTTTGAATATACAGAAAAAGAGGTCCCATCAGAAAATAAAGCACAAGTCAGTCTCAACAAGAAAGCAGGTTTTCAAGCAGCTACGCTTGAAAAGCAGGATTGTCCAGGAGTTCACACAAGGACACCCACACACGGCGGGGGATCGCTTTTCCCTAAAACCAATCTGGCTTGCAGTTTGATATGTTATCACCATTGGTTGAAAAGTGAATCAAATCAGATTTCTTCAGAAGAAACTATAAAGCAAGTCACACAGTCTTTCAACGGTGCATTTAGATGCTTCCTTTTAACCCTGCTAAGATAAAATGTTTTTTAAAATTGACTTACAAGCATTAAGAATTGTTCAAATCCTTTCCGTCTCCCTTGAATGTGGGAGCTAGCCTTTGGAGTGGTGCACACCTCCTCCTAAGCCACTCTGCCCTGCATCTGTGCCCTGGGTTATCACTCCTGGGCGGGCTCTGCGCTGACAGACACCAACACACAGAGCAGAAGCTCGGGAGCACTCTCCGCTCTGCTTTCTTGAAATGTTTATCTGGGGAAAGACAGCTGCCATGTACACTCCACCATGCCTACACCTCCTCGTGGGGTCATCTCCAAGTCAGTCAGGTGGAGAGGTGCTTGTGGAGGTGAGGGGAGGCAGAGTGGACAAAAGACACCCAACCAGTCCCCAGTCACCTGTCGTGTCCTGAAGGTGCGTGGTGGACAACAAGCCAAGTGGAGCCTTTGGATGAGTGTAGCCAGCACCCAGGTGCTCGGGACCTTGAACCTCCTGGTGGAATCCAGCCATTGCCTAGGACTGGGAGAGGCCAGGGCGCCTCATGCCAAGCTGCAATGCTTTCGCTGGCTTGTTATACAATAACAGGCAACATCATACAAGAAAAGGAAAGACGCGGTGAATGAAGGGAAAACAGACCAGGGAGATTTGTTAGGAAGGGGGAGAAGCAAGGAATCCTTCAGAACAAGGACTGTGCAACACTGGAGGCAGCTTGTATGATGAAGGGAGAATGCTGGCATGAACTCCCAGACAGATGTGCAGATAAGGACTACAAACAAGCCCAGATCCAAAGCGCTTCTTTCATGACATGGGGAATTAGGGCCCACTGCCCCAGGCACACATTTCCCGATTTCTCCTCTGGTAAGAGGACATGATCTGGAAGCATCCTGAGCTTTCAATCCTCTCTCCCTCTTCTAAGGAGATTCAAATTCTCTGTTGCCTCCTCAGACACCAAAGGCTGCCCCAGCTCTCTCATGAACCTCCTCGCAGCCCCCTCAGCCCCAGGCTGCGCCAGCTGACTTGATCTCCCCAAGACACAATCAGCCACTAGTCCACAAAGCTAATCTGGGACTGCCCCCTCACTTGTTAGCCTAAAAACCAATGTTCCATGCACCCAGTGCTTGCATGGAACATCCATCATCGTCTCACAAGATACAAGAGGGAAGTACAATTAGGGAAGTGCCAAGCACGTGGGCACCTGGATGGCATTCATTTCCCATGAGCTTACAAACTCCAGACATGATTCTGGCCTCCTTAAGCACTAGGCAATCCGAGCAGGAGGCCAGGCAGGCAGCTGGAGGGGGGCTGCGGCCTGAGTGTGCGCGGCACACAGTCAGCCTCTGCCGCTCAGAGGACTGGCACGTCCGGCTGCCTCGTGGGTTTGAGTTACACGTCATGTTCTCCCTACTGAGGGAGGCACAGCAAGATTTGTCAACTTTTCAGGAATGAGTTATAAAATAGCAATAATCTCGTTTTAGAGGGTGACATGAGACCATCTGTATAAAGCAGCCAAGGGCATGGCCTAATACTCAATACCTCTTGGTTGTGATTTGAATCTAGCTCCTCTGAATTCAGAGTATGTCTTTGCTGAGTCACTCAGATGTACTTGCAGGAGTGTGGAAAACACAGACTGCCAAACAGCTCTCTCAATGCGGATGGGCCACAGCAACACAGGTGAGCAGGGGGTCTTTCTGAGCTGAGCCCCCCGCACACGCTGCTGTTGGCGGGGCAGGGGGTCATCCTGAGCCCCCGCACACGCTGCTGTTGGCTGAATACAGTGCTGTGTTTTCTGAGGCAATAATTCCTACAATTTTTTTTTTTTTAATTTCAAGGACCCAGTTAAGACACTTTTTAAAAATGGTAATGACCTTATGCAAGGTCATGTTTTTTCTGTTTGCCCTTCATTAGGACAACACAACAAGCTGCATTCTTTTAATGTTGTGATTGCATTTCCAAAAGTCCTTCTAACACCAAACAAGACAAAGGACACAACTGAAGGACACAATCTCATCCCTTCCATCGAATACACTTAATTTATAAAAGTCCCTTTATTTTCCCACAGACAAACCAACTGACATTTCAGACTAATCCTAGAACTCTGGCCAACATGTCGGAACTACTGCCAACAGGAGCACAAGCCACTAACTAAAGAACAAGAATATAAACTACATAGTTTTAAGTAAACAAAAGGATGCGATGATGAAGCATGATAATAAAGCACCCTGACTCCTGGCAGCCAACATGAGAGCCAGGATACAACCCACACCGTCACATTCCTTCCCAGACGATGAATGCTGGGGTTATCATTCACCCACCTGATAAAAACTAACAGCTCTACAACCCTGACTTAGGGGTTCCCTGAACCACGGAGTGGTAGTTTTCCTATTATCCCTGAGGGCTTTCCCTCTCAAGTCAGGGTGGACACAGAAAGGCAAGGGCAGCTCAAGCCGATGCTGACATTGTCACCGTGTGGAACTAGTGACCCACGAGTGGGCATGATACCTCCTCAGTCCTGCCTTGCATGGCTCTGTTAAAAAAACATACATGAGCATTTATCTGATCAGTGTTGCGAGGAAGGGGGAAAATGGGATCCTTGGGTTTTGCTGGTAAGAATGTGACTATGGCACCGCCACGATGGACACAGTCAGGCGGTACCCGGAAAGATTAAACACAGAATCTGACCCAGCTGTTATCTTTCTGGATATACAAGCAAAGGAACTGGAGGCAGGCAGACACACCCATGGTCACATTAGCCTTATTCATAAGAGCCAAAATCTAGACGCAACAAAATGCAGTCTACACATGGACTGGAACATTACTGAGCTTTACAAAGGAAATTCTG